TTAGTTCTAAAAGTGCCTTGATATGTACAGTTTAAAAAAAAATATTGATATATAAAGTTTTAAACAAGTCTTGATATATAAAGTTTTAAACGAGTCTTGATGAATTAAAGTTTTAAACGAGTCTTGATAGATAAAGTATTAAAAGTGTCTTGATATATAGAGTTTTAAAAGAGTCGTGATATGTAAAGTTTAAAAAAATGCTTGATATATAAAGTTTTAAAAGAGTGTTCAAACATAATTTTTTAAAAGTGTCTTAATATATATAGTTTTAAAGTGTCCTGATAGATAAAGTTTTAAAAGTGTCTTAATATATATAGTTTTAAAGTGTCCTGATAGATAAAGTTTTAAAAGTGTCTTGATATGTACAGTTTAAAAGAGTCTTGATATATAAATTTCTTCTTCTTCTTCTATAATATCTTAAGGGCCCACGATCAATTTATTGATCATTTTGGCTCCTATGCATGTAGATGGGATTTGCAATGTTTCTGTTACTGGTGGTGATGAGGAAATTATGCACTAGGGGTTTGAAGGCTTGAGGCAATAGACACAAATGTGTCTAGTGTTGTCGCCTCAACTGTTCCTTTTGAAAGATGGTTCCAGTCCCTGATTGTCTTGGGCAGGAATGAGCAGCTCCTATACTGGCTTCTTGCTGGTATGAGCCTGAATTGCCTGTCATGGCCTCGTCGCTGTCTATGGGGGAGAGGGACGAGTTTCTGTTTAATACTGGAACAGTGGACCAGCCCATTATTTATCTTGTACATCATGGAGAGCCTGGATTGTCGTCGTCGTTTCTCCAATGGTGACCAGCCTAGTGTTTCTAGCATGCTGCCAACACTAGAGGTATTCCTGTAGCGGTTTAGGACAAAGCGTGCTGCTCGTCGCTGGACCGCCTCCAACCTGTCAATGCTCTTCTGGGTAAATGGGTCCCAGACTGAAGATGCATAATCTAAAATCGGACGGATAAAGGCTTTATATGCTCTTTCTTTCACACAGGAGTTGCCAATCTTTAAAACAGTTTCTATATATTTCGTTTTCAAAGTGCCTTGATATATAAAGTTTTAAAAGATTCCTGGTATGAAGGTTTCAACTACTGTCAGATTTATTTCCTTTTATAATGATTAACATTTATGTTTACAAAACATAAAAAAAATTATCTCTGGGACTTTCAATTAAGTCGAACTCTCCTCTTTCCGCAATCAAGGCTCAATAAGTAACCTGATATATTTCTTCGACACTATGTCCTAGTCACACAGACCCCAAGGGAACTCATTTTAACAATTTAAATTGTTTGATAATTCCCAGAGAATTATTTTTTGATTTTTGAAATAACAGCACGCATCAATCCTGTGATGAATTATAACAAAATTAACAATGTACTTTAAAACAAGCTTTCTTTTTAACAGTTATATTTATTGAAAGCGAGAACAAGAACGAAAAAGTAATTTGGAAAAAAAAAATTAATAAAAAACTGTACCTAAAAGTTTGAAAGAAAAGCACAAGCTGGCAACTGAAAGGGGACAAAAACGTTTCGAATTTTATCTTCAACCGATCACCTCTTTAGTATCGACCTTTATCTTGTTCCAGTTATTACATGCTTTGCTTGCAGTTCATCGAAAGTCTTAACTGTACTCAATCAGTCGAGACAACATGTCGATAATTGATTTTTGACAAATTAAAGGATTTAAATGTTTAAATATTTGATTATTTAATAATTTATTAAGCCATTTATCCTCTTACTAATAGTGTGCTCTTCATTAAGTCAAGCCTCATTAGGTTTATACAGACAGCGAGAACTGCAACCAATATCGTAGTGTTTGGTTTTAGTTTTTTTTGTTGTTGTTTTTTTTGGTATTATTATTTGGGTGCAAACATTGGAAGGTGTTGGGATTTCTTGAATTTCTTCACATTGTTTTCCGTCAAGTTCATCCCCCGAAACTATGTAGGACATAGTGGAACACGTTATGTTGTGCAGTCTTCATCTATTATCCTATGGTAAATTACATCCTTCCGACAAACGTGTTAAATATTTAAAATGTATGCATTAGAGGACATGCAGTTATTATATAACACAAACATATGACAGTGTTTACCCATACCATAACCCTAATAGCGTTGTATAAAATTTCCATTGACCAATCTCCCCATAAATATTATATAACATAATTTATATCAACCCTTCCCTCAACCCAACAGCCAAACGAAACAATTTTATTTTTACTTCCTCCCAACTGCTCTCCTGACTCTATGAGAGCTTTGAATGAATGTTTGGTTTACGGTGGCAGCGTGAATATCCCAGTAGAACTTGAGCTGAAGTAAGTGATAGAGTTTTCTCAAACATTCTTGTCTCACAGGCTCATGTTTAAAAAAAAAACCAACAACTTACAAGAGAAAGGACAAGATATACAATGTAGAGTAATCTTCAATTACTTAAATTGTTCATACAGGTGTCCGTTTGTCTTCTCGTGTCGAAATATGTTGTTTAATAAATAAATGAATAAGTTTCAAATCAAAGTTTTGGAGCTTTATTCACGTTGCCATTTCCAAATTATGGATGTAGTTAAATAATTAATCAAAACAGTCAAATAACAATTGATTTTGTTTCAGCGAAAATGGTTTTTTATTTTCTTGAAAATAATTGTTTTTCAGTATTGTAAATTTTAAGATTTTTTTTTATAAACATAAAATTTCGATTATAAGAAGAAAAAAGAAATTAAATCATTTGAAAATACAGTTTAATAAATTATAAATTTTAAAAAAAGAATAACATTACATTAATTACAATTTTCCATTCTTTTTAGCAACACTCTTTAACTAAAACTGTCCAATCCTCGCATGAAGCGCATGAAGGGATGGTAGATGAAAAGAAGCTATGCAGTGTACAACACCAACCCCAAATAGTGCACACCATGTTGACTGCTAGAGTCAATAACAGTTTCTTGCTATTTAAGAAAAAAAAAATATAAAAAGACAATAAAAAGAAATAAAAAGACATAAAAAGGCATAAAAATACTTTTAAATATCAAACTATTCATTTGTGTACCCCAGGTTCCGTCTCCATTACACCACCAGAAAGACAGTCACATTATCATCATCCTACAAATCGCAGTCGTCGACTTGCGGTGCTCACCTATATATTTCATCTAACTTGGTCCCGATGGTGAGGGCATGCACATTTTACAATGATCAAATAGCTACACATCAAGTTACATTTGGTTTCTCTATTCATCTTTTCTAACGCCGTGAGAAATTATACCCGATACCACGTGACAGCTCCCCAGTACAAGCAACAGAAAGGAAGCGATGTTATGTCCCACTATGTTCCCAAATGATTCCTCTGCTGGTGATACTAACATTAATTACTTCTAGCTGTCAAGCCATCTCACTCCTTAGATTTTGAGACCTTTCCCCTGTTCCATGTTACAACTTCCCTTGTGCTCTTACTTGATTTCCAAACATTACTGAATCAATGACTTCCCTGTGAAATTATGTTGAACTAAAAAAGTTTAATTTTTTACGCACATCAAAAAAATATCTCAAGATCTGGTGGGCCATTAAAAATCAAATTCGTGGGGCCGCAGGATGGACAGCATGGTCAAAACAGCGTCTGGTAATATTTTATTTTTGGTAGAACGTTGATAAAGTTTTGACATTGTGTACAGGAGCCACTTCACAATATACTTATTATATTATAAAGTTTTTACTCTAAATATTCAGGGAACGTTAGTCTAGACAAGCGTCCATGTGTTTAAGAGGCAGACTGGTAGTGTATATAGAGGCCTGTAGTGAATATATATATATATATATATATATATATATATATATATATATATATATATATATATATATATATATATATTGTATATATAGATGTGTATAGTATATATATATATATATATATATATATATATATATATATATATATATATATATATATATATATATATATATATTATACATAATATAAATTCAAATTGTAAAAAGTTCAAGCATACATCTACATTAGTTACATTTAAAGTATGTTTGACAAAATAAATTGTCGAAGATAACGTAAAAAGTTGACATCAAAAAGAGCATAATGTTCTGATGAGAACGTATCCATCTAATTACAATTCATAACAATATAACTTTACGTAGAAATGATAGCTCATTAAGATTTTATTTTAGTTCACATCTGTCTGGGCCCCCTCACCCCCCCCCCTCCTGGTTTTCCACCCAGTGTCATATAAAGGCAACAGTGTCATAACAAGCAATAAATAAAAACATAAATTGAATTAAAAAATATAGGAGAAAAAAATTACAAAATTAATAATCAATTAGAATTGATTAAAAATATCTTTAAAAATCGCCAAAATGTTCGCTTCAGACAAATATTGATATTTAATAACATGAAATAAAAAAAATGCCTAACAATACAAGAAGAGACCGAAATAACATCAACACAATGTCTCTTTAATTTCTGGGAATCTTATAATAATATCTAAATTTAAATGTTAACGCAGGTTATCTATCAATTTACATTTTCCGATTCACGTAGTTAAAGTTACATATAATTTTATTGAGAAATAATGAAACACTCATGCTATTGGTCAAATCTGCCACACCTCCGTGAATGTAAAATCACATCTGTCATAGCAAGAATTAACTAGACTCTACATGTATATGTTGAATATGAAAAAAAGATTTTAGAACAAGCAAAAGTATATAAACATGGCTAAGCAACATGATTCTTTAAGAAAAAAATTAAGAAAGCGGCTAATGCTGTCTTCATGCAAGCATTTATATCGTAGTTGCTAAGCCTGAAGACATCTCGTCTGACACAGGTATGTCCTTATGGCCGTTGTGCCACAGGTATGTCCTTATGGCCGTTGTGCCACAGGTATGTCCTTATGGCCGTTGTGCCACAGGTATGTCCTTATGGCCGTTGTGCCACAGGTATGTCCTTATGGCCGTTGTGCCACAGGTATATCCTTATGGCCGTTGTGCCACAGGTATGTCCTTATGCCCGTTGTGCCACAGGTATGTCCTTATGGCCGTTGTGCCACAGGTATGTCCTTATGCCCGTTGTACCACAGGTATGTCCTTATGGCCATACGCCAAGGTATGAATTCCATCGTCCCGTACATATCTCTTGTCGTCGTACGGCGAGAGGCCTGCTCTGCGTTCACGTACAGTGTGCACTTGGTGACCTATGTAGGTAATTTTAACCTGCTCTATCTCACTCTCCTCGCGGTTATCCAAACATTTCTTGTAGTCATCGTGGCTAAGCTTTCGTCCCTGGAAATATGTGTCAACACCAAAACCACATTTCTTCCCGCTTCCATCATACTTCAAACTGTACATCTTGGGTTTCAGACCCACGAATTCCTCAATAGGTACCCCATTCGTCTCGTCTTTCATTTTACCAATGACTTTCTTGTTCACATCGCTGTGGAGTTTATGGTCCTTTGGGTAATCAGATGTATCAAAACGATCAAGTTCTTGTAGTAAATCGTCATAAAGATCTTCTGTTTCTATTTCATAACACAGAGAGTCTGTGTCTGTGAAGAGAAGTCTTGCTTTGTCTTTGTATTTTTTTCTGATGAAATTGTAGTGGAAATCATAGATTAATGTTTTGGAGATCTCCAGCACAGAAAAGCCAATATAAATTGGTTTATTCAAAGTAATTTGAACCTTTTTCATAAAAGCAGCTTTAATCTCATCTGTAACTGATACTATTTCCTGACAGTTTATTTGGGAAGCGCAGGTTTTTATCCTCGTTTCATTTGTTAGAAATTTTACATCTCTATACTTTCTAATGTTTTGATAAGTTTTACCATAAAAACTGTTGTTCATCAGTTTGAACATGTCTGAATCAGATTTATTCGTGGCACTTTTCCTTCTTTCAGTATTGAAGTCAATGTAGGGCTTCAGCCAAGGGCTTTGTTTAAATGAAACAATACGATGAATCTTTGTTAACTTGAGACCAAGTTTAAGATACAGTTGTAGTGTTCTATAGTGAACCACGTAGTTGACTTTGTCTCTTAAGTTAGGCGCAAGTTTGGTTTCACTAGATTCATTCTTTTCAAACTTACTGAAGAGTTGCTTAGAAAATGGGGATAACATGTCATCTGTTATTTCAATCTTATCTGGAGCGAGTGGATAGTCATTATGGTCGTCATGCAATTCTTTTGGATATTCGAGATCCACTTCCAGGATGTAGCCAGTCTCTGCATCTATTTGTACATCATCTATTTTGAAATCTTCTATTTCTTCAGGAGTCAGCCAGGTGAACTCTCCAGTTGGTAAGTATTGCGACATGGCCCAGCCGTACAAATTGTTGGCATCTAAGTAGATTACGTACGTTTTAGGTTTTGTCGCGTCATAATCAGGTAGTCGTGGATTATTAGCTGTGGCAAAACGATGAGATATCATAGCAACTCCACCCCTGATACCACTCTCTATCATCAAGTACATCTCTCTGTCAGTGAGCAAATCTAGGTTAGGTTTAGTCTGTTTGAGAGCTGCCTGCCAAGATAGCCCCGAGAGGCCGTAAAAATAAGCTGGATCCAATGAATATTGGTCTTTGCATGTATTTCTAAAGTTTTCGAAGACATCAGCCAAAAGCAAAACATCAGATTTGACGTAAAGATCGTGATACTCTCCAAGATTCTTTATTTTAAACTCTCTCCACACTTTTTCGGCGTGTTGGTAATCTTCCTCTGAAATGTCTGCATCATTCAGTATGTTTTTAAAGCGTTTTTTATCTGGTAAGCTTGTTTCCTCAAATTTTGAAAAGGAATCCATGTAGTCGTACGGATAAACCTGCTTTCGCAAAAGCAAGCGTAGCTTATCAATATCACCTTTGACCTCTTGCAACTCAAAAGTATGTTTGAAATTGTCTTCCATTGAAGTTTCATCTGCTGAAAGGTTGGAGACAAGATTAGCTAGGGAGTCTTTCACAAACGAAAGTGAATCTATGAATTTTATTGAACCTATTGTGAATGAACTGTAGGTGTTAATTGATGAAGAAATGCAAAATTTACAGTTTTCAGCTGTTTTTCTATCTGCCATGATGAAATGGCCATCGTAGTTTGTTAAATTATGAAACACGACAATCACTTCTTCATTATATTTTGGGCTACATTTCCAGCATAAGTTCCCAAGATATTCTTCGTTTGGACTCACGTAGATATCTTTTGGAGAAGGCAGTTCATCTTTACATATGTAACATATGTCAAGTACTGTTGCTTTGTTTGTTTTCCATGTCTTTTTTCTCAACTTTTTAATCCTCTCATTTTCTTCATGGATAGCATCCATGAAATTTTCAACAACGTTCTGTCCCCTGTATACCACTACCGATTGGGTGGCCTCGTCCACTGGTCCCACCACCTTATAAGCATACCCCGAAGGCTGGTGATCAGTTAATTTGATCAGTTTCCTATCAGCTTCATCATCACTACTTCCCTGAACTCGGGGTTGAATACACTCAAAGTCAGCGTATATGACGTAAGGGGCTTGAAGAATAATTTCTGGGTATTTGTCGCTAAGGATCGCATCGAGACCAGATGGAAAGTCAACTTTTTGTGGCTCCAACAATTGACACAGTCTCATGTGGTTCTTGAGGAGTTCCTCCCCTTCAAATCCCCCTAGACAGTACCGACAGTAATGCTGATCGGTGTCGCCCATGAGGGCGCTGAATTGTTTAATCCAAGAATAATGCGCAGTGTTATCATTAGTAATACACAGAAGCTCAACAAGCCTTTCTTGAGTTTCTTTGCTAACCATAACAGGGAATATTGTTTTCCTTTTTCTGTTATTGTTGTCATAGCCAAAAAGATTTACGCGTATTTGGTTTTGTTTTTCGAATTGAGGAATGTTACTTCTGTTCATGGGAAAGGTTAAACCAGCAAAATTTAATTCATTCTCGTAGTCGAGGTAAGAATGGACGTCCTTGGGGTCATTGACATGAGGATGTAGCGCTGCCAGCACACTCCACTTGAAACATTCTTCATCGTCCGTATTCCTGACATTGACAAGTGCCCCAGTTCGTGCAAGCTCATCTGGCAAGGGAATGAAGGACGACTTCTTTGCTTTTTTTGGAGCCCCTCCTATGGTAGGTTCATAATCATAACTTGTTCTTTTTTGACTCCTAAAATGAGATAGTTACACTTTTTTTTCTTCTATTCATTCATACTTTTTTTACAAACTGGAATTACCAGTTCAATAGCTTCGTTTTGATGGGGTAATTTAATTATATAACGAACCAATTATTTATATAACTAATGTCTGTTTTTAAATAAACAACTCCATTACTAACTACTCCATCACTACTGCTTCTCTAAAAATTAAAAAAAAAAGTCTTTTACCATCCACAAATACGTCACAAAATACAAAGCATATAGCAATGGCGTCACAAATACTCTCACCCAAAAACACGAACAAACCAATAACGCATAGGAAATCAGTGTACACTTAAGTTCTACTGAGAAAGACACAAAAAGTCTTATGAATATTTGACATGTAATCTCCATTGAATATTTTTACGGTAGAGTGGTAGAGTTATACTGTTAAAAAAAACATTACAAAATGTAATTAACTCTCATCTGTTTTTTTTTTAAATCTCAAATCGTGGTTGGGGGGGGGGGGGCTTTTATGATATGGACACCTAATTTAGCGCCACGAAAGTTCTGTTTCATGCATTCTTAACACTATTTGATATTGAACTTCAAAGAAAAGTACGTTTTTTTGGAGAGTTCTAAGATTTAGCAAGTTTAGTTGTAAGGTCAGTTGGACAAAGTGCACCTGTCGTAAAGTACGTTCCATTTGACTCTATTGCCCTTGTTGTAACAATCAGCATGAATTATCAATGCTTTGCAGGAAATACACCTTCAATACCCTCGTGCAACATTTAATCTTCAGACGCCACTTTATGGGAAAGAAAAGGTATCCGAAATCTGATTGAGACTAACAAACTAGGAGTTGTATGAACTATATCAGGATACCAGAGTAGTGGGAGGAATGTATGGGGACAGTCTCTTTGGACATGGGATCTGAAAGAATGTCAAATGACAGAATAGTGAAGATAGTTTATTATCAAGTATAGTGAAGTGTGCATGTTACAGAGCGGTGAAGTAGGCCAAAGATCTCCATGTGCTGTAGCGTCAAACTTAGTTAGTAAATAACTATTGCAATTAGTGTAAACAAAGGTAATAAAAATACTACTTACATTTTAGGACAGGTGGTAACCAATAATTTAACTGCTGATAAGAATGGAAGAAAAAAAAATAATGATATAAAATTTTTAATTTAAACTTAAAATATCACATTTCGAACACAGTTAGCCAGCGCTAGAGACATGGACCGGTCTTAATGTTATATACATTTAAGTGGGATGCAAAAAAGGCTTTAAGTGACGAGCTGTGAAGATGAATTCAGGTAATATAAAAATCAAAAGTCATCCCACAGAGTGGAAAGAGGACAACAAACAACAGCAAAGCCACAGTGTTATATTTTTTAACATATGATTTAGCCCGAACTTGTAGAAGGGAGGTACTATATATGACGGAAAAGAAATTCTGCACACTCATTTAAATTTTACAATCGCATGATTTATTTATCTGTTAAGTTAGGTTGCAGAAAATCACAAAGAAAAGGTGGGATTTTATTAAAACATGTAAGAAACTTTTCAAGAAAAATAAAAAAAGAATCACGTTCGGTTGAAGTTTTTATAAAGAAAACCATTTGGAGAGTATTTTATTGCTATTAGTTTATCGTGATCTTCAGTGTTGATTGAGGCCAGATTGGGTCATATAAATAATTTTTAATGTTATTATTAATGAACTTTGGCCTGCAGATAAACAACCACATGCCTTATCGAATCATCTCAACCCGATCTCACAAATATAGTACTTTGTCAAATTACCTAGGATCTAACGGGTACATCACGTATAGAGTGATTAGTTTCATCTCCAAGATCCCTAAATTGTAATGCAGACGAGTTAATTAATAAAATGTAAAACAATTTGCTTAATTTGACAACGTTAGACCATGTTAGACCAATCGTAGACCACTATTAGACCAATGATACATCAATTTTAGACCAACGCTGGCCCAATGGTAGGCTAGAGTTACAATATCGAACAGTTAATTTTTAAATTCATGAACAAATAAAAGTATGTGTAGACCCATTTTAATCAATTAATGGCATTTGTTTTTGTTGATGTAGACCAGTGTTTCCGATTCGTTATTTGTTCGTGACCAGGTGACTGTGGTTTTTCTCTCTTCCTTCGGTTCCCCGGTAATGTTCTTCTTGTGGTCCGGTAACTGGTCGCGACCCCGTATTTGTGAAACTCTTCTGTAAAAAAGTTGACTAAAATGTCAACCCTTACAAATTAGAAAAAAAAGTGCTGGGTGGATCGATCCCGTCCCCATTCCTAAGCCAGTGGCATTGTCCGATATAGTTACATGACTTAAATACTATCTTTCATCGGCTCTACGATCCGCCACTTTTTACAACGTGGCAAAGTTCTTTGTTATTTTATTATTTTATTTTATGTAATTCTCCATTATTTAAAAAAAAAATATTTTTTTTCGTGTGTGGAAATATTAAAAAACTTATTACAAAACATTCAGTTGGCCCTAGAAACTATTATGAAAAATATTATGCCATACAAAACTATAACCATTGACAGATAGGCTTTATGCAGTCATCAAAAGCCTATATCTGAAATATAGACTATCCGATTTAAGCTATACTATGTTACAGTCTTAACTTAAATGTGAACTCTTCCCTCGTAAGACAATCCACCTTAAAATCTATCGCTTCCTAAACACTTGTAGTTGTGAGTCAAGGAAACACGACGAAAGGGCCAAATGGCACAAAAAGGACGGCTAGTAAAGCTTTAAAAACTTACCAATAAAGGAATACCTTGCCGAGGCTTGTCAGGACAAATCCATGTCTGTTTCAAAATGAAAAAAAAACAATGCTGAATTTATTCCTAGAATAGAAACTGAAACTATGGTTTAGTTTTTATGACCACGAGTTCATGTAAATTATTGACCTAATCTTAACGTCTCTCCGTCTGTTTGCTTGGTTAATGTCACAGCTTGCATGTCGCTAGTTTCATAACGGTGGTTTTATGTAAATCCTGATTCGACGTGGATCATCGGCCACAATTTAATTCTGACCTGGTTTAAACCTCGATTGTTTGTCGGAAATTTATTGCTGCTATTACGTGAGAGAGTCGTGAAAACATTGTACAGATGATAAATGAATGCTAATTATTATTGTTCGTCCTTCGCATGCTAAGTATGTATGACCAAGGCTTCGACCTCTTTAAAGTGAAGGAGAGTTGCTCGAATTCGTCAGACTCATGGAGGACCAGCAGTATTTTGTGTGTGTGTCACTGTGCACATTTGGTTTCCACGTCGCAGAAGTTGTCAGAATTTTCATTGGGTCAATGTCATTGAGCCTACGTGTTTTAATTTCATATGTTGCCTTCTCTCAGTTGAGTTGCCGTCCAAGGTTAAAAAGTCCCGATGTTGTTTTAGTTTTATTAAATCTGTTCAATTTATTTTATACATCTGTTAAAAAGAAATTTTAGAACAACCCTTTATCAGAATGTATATATTCATAATGCATATCAATTAAGCCGCCCAACAATTGAGATTCGTGCGCTCTATCACCACTGCGTATGAAACCCTGTGACACATGTGGTTGTGTGAGTGCGTGTATGCGGTTTACACAGGTGTAGATACTTTTTTTAAAAATCAGATAACTCTTTTATTGATTTTTATTGCAGTGGATACCGCTTCCCATTTCATTTTGTGAAATAGCTTCATCACTGGTAACAATTGTCAAATTATGAATATGATTGATATATAAAAGAATGTCATCTACATTAGATAATTGCTTATTCGAATATTGTGTTACTAAAACAATGAAATTAGCAAACAGCAAATCGACTTCTTTATTTTCTGATGAAACTTTACAAATTCAATAAAGATATCCAGCAGCGAATGTATTTTTTGTGACCGTAGGTTTCAGTTTTTCTTACTGGTAACGTTTTGGACAGCAAAATAAAATTGAACCGTTTCAAATTAGTCATCTCGAGTCTTAAACAAAATGTATGAACACATGCTCTCCCTCAGATATACTCGTGCTTCACTCGGTAGCTAATGTCTACTTTGATCTATGCGTCATTTCTTCCGATCAAAGTGTTAGTAATGGCGAGTTTTTATTAAAGAAACACGATATATAAATTATAACCAAATAATTATCATTGTTTTTGTAGTTATTCCCATAAAACACCACTCCTCATATATATATATATATATTTAAAAGCTGCCCTGAGAGGACCATACAATTTATCCGCTTGTGTCCGATATATTTTGGCGCTTTCTGAGGCTGACACCCGATGGGACGCACCTACTTAGCCTGTATTTAAAGATGTCAAAACTTTATGGAAAGTTCAAGTGGTGCCATGAGTCCTCCCCCACAAAGCCAATCCTTACCACATTCATTCGGGAGCCTGAGAGTCCTCCCCCACAAAGCCAATCCCTACCACATTCATTCGGGAGCCTGAGAGTCCTCCCCCACAAAGCCAATCCCTACCACATTCATTCGGGAGCCTGAGAGTCCTCCCCCACAAAACCAATCCCTACCACATTCATTCGGGAGCCTGAGAGTCCTCCCCACACAAAGCCAATCCCTACCACATTCATTCGGGAGCCTGAGAGTCCTCCCCCACAAAGCCAATCCCTACCACATTCATTCGGGAGCCTGAGAGTCCTCCCCCACAAAGCCAATCCCTACCACATTCATTCGGGAGCCTGAGAGTCCTCCCAACACAAAGCCAATCCCTACCACATTCATTCGGGAGCCTGAGAGTCCTCCCCCACAAAGCCAATCCCTGCCACATTCATTCGGGAGCCTGAGAGTCCTCCCCCACAAAGCCAATCCCTACCACATTCATTCGGGAGCCTGAGAGTCCTCCCCCACAAAGCCAATCCCTACCACATTCATTCGGGAGCCTTAGACGACTTTCTTTTCTTTTTTTTTAAATTAAATAATCCCTTGCAAACACCAACAAAAAACATTATTTTAAAGTAGTGAAGCATGCCAAAGAACTCGATAAGCTGTAGCA